AAAAGAAATGTCCTCTCATTTGACAACATGATAGCCAAACATGTACACAGAGAAAAACAAGATAAAGTAGTATGCTGATGAATATGTAATAACCAGCAAACGCGATGGCCACACAACACAACAACAGTCAATTAACTACTCAGTAAACAAACCCCCCACAGAAATCAAAGCCATTGCTACCCAGGCAATTCTGGCTCATGACAACTCTGTGAAGAGTAGAACTGCTTCTCCGTGTGTTCTTGGCTATAAGCATTATGGAAGCAATCCATTAGTCCCTTCCTCCATGAAACTGGTGGGTGCATTCAAACCACTAACTTCTAAGAAATGGACCTCAATCCATCTGCACCACCCATGGAAGGGAGGAAAAGCCTTGATGGATAATGGTTGCTAATTTCCATAGTATAAATAATATTATCATGGCCAATTTAAATCTACAAATAAGAAGTTACTTAATACAGAGTTGGGAAGAGATGCACTGTAGGACACTATTATATTGCATTTCCACAATACACATGTAACAGGCAGAAAGAATTTCAATAGTAAAATGAAGTATTTTTTAGTACTTACTGATTCTAAGACTATTTATTTAATTGCACCCATTGCTTTCTACTCAGACTCAACTCATAGTTCACCTTCCAGCAGGTTTCCAAGGATAGAAATGATATTTGAGGAGACTGCCCATCTTCCTCTCTTGAGCCAGCTGGTGGATTTGAACCACCAAATAGGCACGACCTTTGAGTTATCAGCACAAGCCTCTACAGACTATGTCATCAGAGCACCCTCATTTAATTTTGAGTTCATATAATTTAATTTTGAGTCACAGTTCTGACCATATCAGCTGTATTTAATCTGCTCTCACTTTTCTTAAAATTTAATATTCAACAATCCTGTAGGAGTTGACTCCACAACACACCATAACTAATTGAGCGGGGGCTGTTGTTGAGTGTTGTCAAGTTGGAACCAAGTCATAGCTGATCCTCCAGCGGGTTTTTAGAGGCAGTAAACAGCTTTCTCCCCTAGAGCAGCTGGTGGATTCCAACGGTGTACCTTCAGATTGTAGTGCAGTTTTTTTTACCACTAGATGGGAGGGGAGGATCAATGGGGAGGAGAAATTAGGCCAAAGACCATTCAATAGCACATAATGTTTTCAGATAGATAGGAAGATAGAGCAGCGAACTAATTCAAGAATTTTCAAACTCCAAAGTTCATTATCACCAAATTGGAACAGACTCATAGATGACATTCCGGCAGGTTTTCCGAGGCTGTAGGGAGTTCTGGTGGTTTAATGGGAAGAAGCTGCACTGCAATCCTGAAAGCCCGTGATTCAAATCCAACCCGCTGCTCTGTGGGAGAAGGATGGGCAAATTGCCTCGGAAAACCTGCCAGAGGGCCAGCTATGGGTCGGTTCCGACTTGATGGTTCACAACAACAATGTAAACGGTATGGAAGGAGACTGCCTGTCTTTTTCTCTCAGAGCAGCTGGTAGATTCAAACCACTTGCCTTTGAATCGGCCGCACAACAGAGCCAACAAGGCCACAAGCATTCTCTCAAGAATTTTAAGCTTCCCAAAATGTTAGCATATTTTCACAGTTCCATCAAAAAAATGTAAAAAACTCTTAAGAAAATGAATGTTCTTGAAGACTTAAAGATCCAGATGTGGGCATTTATTACCGAGGTAAATGTACAATCTTATAAAGACAATCTTAAACAGCGAAAGTCCTGGTGATGCAGTGGCTATATGTACTCTGCTGTTAACTGGAAATTCTGTGGGCTCCTTGGTAGCGAGATGTAGCAGTTGGCTTCCATAAAGATTTACAGTCTTGGAAACCGTATGGGGACTTTCTACCCTGTCCTAGAGGGTTTACTATGAATCAACTCTATGTCCATTTATTTGTTTAGGTTTTTCCAACAGAATCAACTTGCTTCATAAGCAAAGTTTATTTTGTTTTACAACTACTAAGCACTGGAAGCAGGAGTGGCATCCACTTCCTAAACAACATGCCTCCAGAAACTCTATGAACTTTGGTAAATGATGATAGTTATAGAAAGGCTCCAGGCCTTTTGTTCATAAGGTCGCTAAGAGTCATGCTCGACTTGACAGCAATAAACTACAACAACAACTACTACTACTACTAAGCAACTCAGGGAGCTCTGACTGTAAGGAATTGTGCTGCCGATGCAAAGGTATGAGGTTCAAATCCACCAGCTGCTCTGGGGGAGAAAGATGGACAGTCTCTTCCTGTTTGATTTACCTCCTCTGAAAATCAGCTGGAGGGTCAGCTATGGGTTGGCTCTGACTGCACCATACACACAACAGTAACAACCAACTCAGGACCCTGAGGGCAGAGAACTCTACCCCAAGGGCAGGGGCTCCACTTTAGGAGCAGGGAAGTATGTTCCCAAAGCCCAAAGGGCTGCACCTAGAGCAAAGGAGATTGTGACCCTGTGTGCTGAGGTTAGAACCCCGAGTTCAAGGGTCACATATAAAAACCAAAGGGCTACAATCCTAGTAAAGAAGTTTGAACCCTGAGTTCAAGGGTCATACACTAAAAATCAAAAGGCTGTTCCTGGAGTGCAGGAGGGCTATACTCTGAGGGAAGGCAGAGGTCTGAACCCTGAGAGCAGGGGACGATCACACAAGAGCAGAATGTCATGCCTTTAATCTTGAGATGTGATAGTGTAAAATTTAGCATGATACTAATGCAGATATGTACCTTGAGTCATATCAGATTCTTTATGCTCTTGACATTTATCCTGGGTTGAATCATGATAGAATACTGCTGATTACTGAGAGTTAACAGTCTGGCACTTTTGTACAGAACATGATTAGCAAACATTTAAATACTGAGTAAACAGAAGATTGCAGATGTTGAGGGAATACAATGCAGTGATGAACAACTTAAAAAAAACTCCTGTTCCTTGACTACACTCCTGATATCAGATTGAACAGAGTCTTTGTTAAATTAATATAATTTTCCAAGAACTCACGTGACAGATCTGGCCATTATCCCCTAACTTACAGGTGAGAAGTAACCACTTGCTGGTGCTGGGGCTGATGTATGCCAGGTAGTGGGTATCAGATGGAAAATGGTGAAGGAGGAAGGCCCATGTGGTGTCCTGGTCAGAGATGGATGCTGACCAGGCTGGAGAGTGCGGCTCTTTCTGAATGCTCATCCAGCCAGAGCCTTGTCACAGGCTTGTAGGGCTCAGGGAAGCTGCTTAGAACAGCAAGTGGCTCGCACTACTGATAGGTTACATGGGGTTCATGCCAACTCACAGAGGTCCTATAGACAACAGAACGAAACCCTACCCCATCCCGCGCCATCCTCACAATCTCTGCTGTGCATATGCCCATTTCTGAAGTCACTGCTTCAGTCCATCTCGTAATCTTCTTTGTTGACTCGCTGCTTTTACAAGCATGGGATTTATTTTCCCCCCAGGGACTGACCCCTCCTGATAACATGCCCAAACATGTGAGACTCATGTTGCTTTGTGCCATCAAGTCAGAACTGACTCATAGACAACCCTCCAGTGGGTGTCCAGAGACTGTATACCATATAGAAAGAGATGGCTCATCTTTTTCCCTTGGAGCTGCTGGGAGATTTGACCTAAGTGCCTTTGGGTTGACAGCACTCCTTACCCACCCATTTGGCCACCAGAGCTCCCTAAAACTTCCACTCCCATCCCTGAGTGGGCTCTAACCACCAACTTCTCACAGGGATTAACTAATTTCACCATAGATACAGGCAGTTGAAACACAGAGTCAAACCAAAAACCATGTCCACTGCAGGCAGGTTGATGAAGAGTTATAACCAGACCCCACTGGGTTTTGAGGGCTGTAAATCTTTATTGGAAAATGCCCATCTTCCTCCTTTGGAATACCTTGTAGATTCAAAGCATTAACCTCCTGGAAGATCTACCTACAAGGCATATTCCTAGCTTTTAATGGCTTGAACTCTGAGTGTTAGACACTATAATGCTACCTGACAAGATCTAAACCAGTAAACAAAAGTCCTCTATTTGCAGCAGCCTGAAGGAACCAGTTGCTGTGCAGAAGAAAGACAGACAATCTCTTCCTGTGCAACTTATAGCCTCTGAAAACCCACTAAAGGTCAGGTCTGAGTCAGCGTCAACTCAACAGTATTTAACGTAGCAACAAAGTGGCAACTCAGGAACACTCAGCTGCTAGCACCATCTGAGTCAGGTCCACCTTCTGCCTAGACTGGCAAGCTCTTCAGCTCACAATCCCAGGGGGAAGAAGGAAAAAGAGAACAGGTGAGAAGAAAAGGAAAAAAGAGGGAGATGTCCAAGGTGATGTCAGAGTGCCGTCAACTGTGACTTCTGGCACTGGACACTTATCAAAGACACAGGAGCTCGGGCCAAAGACTGCAGTCAGGTTTCCTTTGCTTGGCGTTTCACTGCTTGATCAAAAGTTGAATGTACACTAGAGTGAAACAACTCAGCTATGCATTCTTACTCTTTGTCCTCCATCGACAGGCATCCAAACAAGTGATTTGTGAATGTCTGTATGGATCATGCCTTAAGGACTGCTGTGCAATCAACTAAGATATTGACATTTCATCCCACGACCTTGTTATGCTACAGATAAAGCAACAGATGTTTACAAAATTTTCAAAATAATGCAACCATGTGTGTCAGACAGGTTTTATGAAAGTGCAATTATTTAAGAATGTCCTGTTTCTAAAGCCTTTCTCTTATTAAACTTTAAATATTCCCCTACCATATCTATAAAACTTTAAAATAGCATTATTTTAAGTTGACTTGTCAGTAGACATGTTAATTTTGCTACTCTTGAGTCTGGCTTGAAGCAATATTGGTGGGTTAATACATATTTTATATTTTTGTGTTAATGTGTCAAAGAATCCCAATGCAATCTTGCTTTTATGAAGATACCACTGTCATCTTCATGAAAGCATGATGACAATATCCTCAATTAGGGGGACATTATGCATTTATCAGGGTTGGTTTTCTTTCTTTCTTTCTGGAACTCAGGGAGAATTTGTGCTTAAGTTGGTCACATTTTCTCACCCAGGGAAAGATTGGCAATACTAACTTCATATGTGGTCAGTAGAACACTTTTGATGCATCCAGCCTAACTCAAAGCTATGCATGTAAACAGAGATAGGCTTCTATCATAACCACAGTTAAACACACACTTTATATGCTAAATTCTGCTCAGTAATTAAAAAAAAAATTCATGTAGTAAAGCAAGACAACCTGATACGAAAGTGGTTATGGTAATTTTCGGTTATTGTTACTCACTAAACACTGTCCACTTGTGTAAGTTGCCAGAGGGGCCCACAAACAAATACAACAGTTGTATATATTAAAAATCCAAGATAAATAAGAAATGCTTAAAAAAGGAAAAGAATTACATTATTAGCTCTATGTTAACGGAAATGAACAACCTTCAATAAAATGGTCCCGATAGGGAAGAAGAAGAATTTTTGTTTGTTTCTAAATGGCCAAACGACAGCTGCCGTGGTGAACCATCACCTCTTCTTTGGAAGTTTACCGCCGGTCTCCTTCAACTCGCTTCTTACGAACTATGTAAGAAAGAGAAAAGGGGCGTAAAAAAATTAAATGAAGGGATATTGCTTTAGCAACATTAATCATGCAAAATTACCATCACACTTTTGAGGATATAGTTATCTTTAAAAAAAATAAAAGAGAATACAATTATTTTTAACTTCAATATATCACTATCCATGGCAATAAACAAAAATGATCAAATAATCCAGTGTCTGATGGGGTTTCCATTTCTTTGACATTTACATTTCTAAAAAGGTATGTTTGATAGTTGGGAATTTGTGTTAGAACTTTCCAATTTTCTTGGACAAGAAGGCCCAAAATAAAACCATTAAGTAGTGATTGGAGTTTCAATTATTTTTCTATAGTTGAACTTCCTCTCAGCTTCTCTGCAACTCAAACACCAAGTAGCTTTCAATCACAATCTAACTCAGATTACACTCGATAGTCATGGAAAAGTTCAGAGTTTCTAAACTTATTTCAAATAAAACCTAAGCATCAGTCTCCAAGGAAGGCAAGGCTCAGATAACCAACAAACTTGGAGATTAAAGGTCTCTTAATTGATAATGAATTTCAAAGACATTGGCAACCTGAACCTTTTGCATTTCCCTGTTCTGTAACCTTCCTCTTCTATCTTTAAAGACCTTTAGGTCTTTGGGAAGAACACGACATTAATGCTCCTGGATTTGACAGGAAGGTATTCCCTGACTCTGGTGCCCTCTCTTCTTTAAATAACCCAGCTTGTTTCTCCTGAACTGCAGGAAGTTAAGACAAAAAAGCTCTTGCCTGAAGCTGCTGCGCTTAAACACAGATCTGCTCTCCCAGTTTCCCCAAGTTTTGCCTGAAGCTGCTGCTCTTAAACACGGATCTGTTCTTCCTGTTCTTCTGCCTGACTTCTGAGCTCTCCATATTGCTGAGCCATGATCCATATCCTAGGTGTCTTTGGACTGCCGTCTGCACCATCCCAAAGCCCCATTAGCTGGGCTGCCTCCTGGTCTCACCCTCTGCATCTTGCATGTCAACACTTCCAGCCCCTGTGACCACACATACCACACTCTGGCTCAGAACTTCGGCTAAGTATGTCTGAGTAGAGGATTGAACAGCCTCTGCCTACTTCCCATGCGGATCTACCACCTGGCTTCCAACTTGCTCCTTACTGGAATCCTCCTCACAGCCAGAACTACACTTGGTGGAGTACTTTGCCCTGCTTCTGCCCTTCACCTGTCCAAGGTTTGACATTCTGTCCCTGACCCTCAAACTAGGTGGGGACTGTGGGCTGCTGTTGGCTCACTGCTTGCTAAGCTGGCTGGCTGCTCTTCGGTGTCCTTTCGTCATGCTGTTCCAGGTGGCTTTCCAATGTATCCCCTATGGCTATGCTGTGGTTGACCAGGACTGGCTTCTCTTCAATCAAACAGAAGATAAGCCTTCCAATTGGGCAGCAGGGAAGATTAAAAAGGAGACAGCTGGAAAAGCTTTGCTGTAACTCTTAAACTTAACCATGATAGGGGAGTTTCATTTGTTGTTGTTATGCTGTTATATGCTGTCAAGTCACCTGTGACTCATAGTGACCCTATGTACAACAGCCCTATACTCTGCTCTATCCTGCGCCAACCTTATTGTCTCTGAAACACCCACCCCCATTATCCCAGTCACTGAATCAATCTATCTCATCGAGGGTCTTACTCTCCTGTGCTGTCCCTCCACCCTTCCAAGCATGACATCCCTCTCCAAAGACTGGTCTATCCTTTGCTAGGGAGTTTCATATATCTAACAAATAAATTACCAAAATATCGGCCAAACTATTACCAAATTTAAACACAAGTGCAAAAACCCACTGAGGAGTAAAACGTAAGTGGACTGAGCTCCATGGCTTTACTTCTTTCTTCTGGTTTAGAATGATTATACATAAGTAGTACAGGAGAAGGAAATGGAAATCAAAGTACAATCAAAGGCTCTTTGGAAAAACTGAATAGTTCTTGAGAGGATGTAATGATGAGACCTGAACTCTGTTTTGTTTACCATCAGGCCTCCTATGAGCCCTCAGGTACCTGTGATGAAGGGGCAAGTGACACAAAAGATCAACGCAATGGGATGTCACATGTCTTGTCAGAAACGAGGAGATGGTTACCACATTTTTCTGATTGCTAATGGCATACAATTATAGATGCATTACCCAGGTCATTATTCTTTGTGATGGCAGCTGCCACCCTCGTTCTCGGCCCCTGCTTGGTAAACTGGTATCCAAACTTGAGGATCCTTGAGTTTTCCTCCAGCATCTGGGCAATTTCCATTTCCACGGCCGTTCCCAGCTGCTGCCTCTGGTTTATGGGCACAAACACACACACACACAGAGAACAACCAAGAAGAAAGAGGAGAGTCACTTGTTGGGGAAAGCAGCACATGGCTTCATTTTTGTACAAACAGGCAAATAAGAAAAAGTTTCAAACTGAAAGAGATGACGTTACTTGAGATGTCTTCTCCCACATAGTAATTTGGGTACTGTTTGTTGTTCAGAATCTGCTCATGACCCATAGTGAGAAACTAAGGAAATTATTTATGAGGGAAAGATGATCCCAGAGCCAAAATCAGAGACAAATAAACATTTGGTGTTTCAATTCACCTCAGTTGTGATTTCAACAAAAAAATGGTTTAGAGTAGTGAAACTATTTCATAGCAATCAATACAATTATTATATTTCCTCTTCTGGGATCCATATCTGTAAATGACAGATGGTTGATTCTCTCATCAGACCCTCACTAGGAAATCCTATAGAGGTTTTATTGGTGTTTACGTATCAAACACTTAACAACAGAGAAATCTCTAAGTGTTAAAAGTAGGTGAGAAAAACTGGATAAATTATGTTTACTGCACTGAAGCCGATGAGGGAGAGAATAGTTTAAAATTAATATATTTTAGGGCATTATGATTATCATAAGAGTCCGGAATGAGGGTTGCAGAGAGTATACGTGGGGTGGAGGTGGGGATGTGTGGGGTCGGGGAGGTGATTGTGTACCAATGAAGGAGTTTGTCTTTTGCTTTCCAAGGAGAGGAGTGAACTGGGGGTGGGGGTGGGGGGAGTGGGGAGAAAAGTGCAACAATGAATGAATGGAATTCTAAAATCTATGTAGATGTTCACTGAAATTAATAATAATAATAATTTTTTAAAAAGTAGGTGAGAAGAGTTTTGGAGTTTTTTTTACTTTATTTTTAGGATTTTTTTTTTTTTGTGTGTGTGTGTGTACTGTCAAATCAGATTGGACTGGTACAGGAGGAGATTGTTCCTCCTTCTCCGGCAAAGCATCTGGTGGATTGGAACTGCTCACCTCTGGGATTGCTGGAGCTTTTTTAAGTTGAGAAATTTTTTTTTGTAAAGTAGGGGATTGTAGAAATTGGACCATAAAGTTAAATTTAAGGGACAGTATATTTGTAATATATTCATAATTTTTTAAAAAATTACAAGTATAGGCTTGTTTTGAGAAAGTAAACAAATGACCATGTAAATATAAAAAAGCTCTACCCCCACAATCACCTACTAACCAAATCAAATGGCTTGGATCTCTCCTCTGGTTCAAAATCCACCAGCGGCTCTGAGGAAGTATCTATAAAATTTACAGCCCCAATAGAGGGTTATTATGAGTCAGAACTAACTTAATGGCAGTGAGTTTAGTTCTTTTTTAATAGAGAAAGCCAACTTGGCATATAGTATGTAGGCTTCTAAGTATTTTTTTATATAAATGAAAGCATTTCTTGTTAAACAAAGCTAGAAAGTCTTCAGTATCCGCATAAGAGGGTATTGTTGAAAGTAACTGTTACAGTATTTCCTAATTTGGAAAATGATCATCATTTTAAATTAAATATTTCAAATATACTATTATCTTATTTGTACCAACAAAATGTCTAAAGTAAAAATATCCCAAAATGTTAATATATTGTTTCATTCAGGGAAAAGACTGCAAATCCTTCTTTTTTCCTTTCAGAAAATTTTTTGAGTATAGGAACTATGAATAATAGGTTTTTTTCCCTTTTGAATAATAGTTTTTATTTTTGCTCTCTTTGGCAAGATAGTATGTTGATAGATATATAAAGAACCTAGGAGTGGAAGAAAATGACAATGGGAAGTGGCATGTGATACAGTGAATATAGAACATGCTTCTTTTGCAGACTAGGTCTTTGTTGCTGTTTTTCAAGAATTATTTGAAGCTTTTTGTGTTGCATAAATCCAGGACAAGTGAGCACCAGAATTTCGTACAATTGGCATATATCTTCTTTTCCTTTTTTCACTAAATAAATCAACAAATCCAGAAACAAAAGCTGATGCATACATATATCTTCAAATTACCTTTAAAAAAGAGTATTCATTTTCCCCCTATTCAAATTTATACATCTGTTTTATTATTATGCTTCACTGATTTTTCTTCTCCCAGAGGTTCCTGATGAAATCATTATACATTTATCTGGAGCCTGGCCACAGTGGCCCACTCACAGCAGTGGATTCATGGGAGGCCTTCATTTCATGGAGCAACCTATTGCTATGATGCTAAATTGGTCTCTGTGGCTGGCTCTGCCTTAGAGATTATTTTAAATCCTTCATTATACAGATGAGGAAACTGAGGTCTAGTTCCAACAATCTGTGGGTCATAAGGACAAAATCTGGGTGGAGGGCAAGTTCTGAACCATTTCCCCATTCTCGGAGTAAAGCAGCTCTCAGTTGGTTTCCCAGTTGTTCTAGAAAATTCTAATCCTCCTTGTCACCATGATGAAAAGTCATCACTTCAGAGGCTCACTGGGGACCTAAAACTGTAATGCTAAACAAATACATTCCTAAATGACTGAGATGATGTCATGAGACAGATGGTTTAGAGGAGATGTACAAGAGCAAGTTTAGACTTTGTATTCATGGTCTTCTTTACATACATTGAAGAGGAGTGATATATTCTAAATTTTTAGAACTCTACCTTATTCACTGGTGATTAAATTGGTAGCATGTTACCCTGCTAATAAAAATGTCATGTATCTCCAGAGGTTTAAATACACCAGCAACTCCTCAGGAGAAAAGTGGGCAGTCTCCTCTCATTAAGACTCATAGCCTCGGAAACCCTATGGAGGGTTCCCCACTGAGTGGAAACCAATGGGATAACAGTGAGTGTGTGTGAGTGAGCTCATTCATGGGGCGTAGGGCTGGCTGCCAGATACAAATTAACACCATCCAATTAAATCTGAATTTTAGACAAATAATGAATAATATTTTAGTATGAATCTTTCCCAAACATTGCATGGAGAAATTGATTAAACAATATGATTTAAAAAATTGACTGTTCACGTAAAATTCAATGGGAGCTATATTATATCTGGCAGCCCTAACTAGATGGCATGATGCAGGAAATCAGGAAAGTGGGGTTTCAAACTATTCTAAGCCATCATAAAAGGTTATCACTTTGGATCAGGTATCCATTTTTAGCTTAGACGACTCTGGAAATATTTACTAGGAGTCCATTTCTTTCTTATTAGTCTGTTCAGCAAATATCCGTGAGCTTTTACTTCTTTCCACTCCCTCCAGACTTTGTTTCCAGTGTCTGCTCCCTGATGCCTCGGTGTTAGTTTATTGGCAGCTGTGTACACATCAGAGCGTACAGCCTCGAGAGACCTGAGTGTATGCTGCCCTGGGGTGCATCCCCACAGCTGTGCCCTCCACATCTTTTACATCTTTGCACTGGGGAGAGCTATTTTGGTGAAGCTTTCCCTCTGGGGTTGGTGAGATGGAAGGAGGACTTATGACCCTGGGGTTTCCCTGCATTGAGCTCAAGAGAGAACTGGGACAAGGACCTGCACTGACAACTCACTTGCACTGGTTTGTTGAGAAAGCACAGCTGTCAGGGAATCTGTTCTGTGGGGACCTGGGACTTGATTAGATCTTTATGAGGTCTGGAGTAGGGAATTTCCGGATGAGGTCCCCAGGTATGCAGGAAATACTCTGAAAATCACTTCCTCCACTCCGCCACCCACGAACTCACAGGAGAACACGAGGCTGAAGCCTCTGTGCTCTCTCCTCTTTTGAGATCATTCCAGGGCCCTTTCTCTCCATTATTCAGTGTCCACACCCTCAGTCCCACCCAATCCTCATCACAGAAATGTCCCTGTAACCAAAGGGGCAGGGCACAGCCCTGCGGCTGTTAACAGTGTTGCTGTCTTTGGGCAGAAGCCAGCAGAAAAACTCTAAAGGCACTGGAGGCCAATGCTGGGACAGAGAGGCCTGCAAGCTACAGGCAATGGTAGTTCTAAGGACAAACTGCTTGTTTTCCTGTTGGGTGGGAACTTGAAAAGAACTGGAACAGAGTTAAGATTCTGACCACCACAGGGAGAGATGTGTGGAAACCTTGATTCCATTAAACAGGTTCTCTGTGTGGGCAGCAGCAACAGCAAAAATCCAGGTCTGTGTTTCTGGATGGGGTAGCCCCCGACTAGGGATAAGGAGTCTGAGTTTCTGGGCATGGCTGCCCTGCTTTCTCCTTCTGGTTAAGGTTGCAACAAGAGGCAAAAAGCAAGGCCAGGGCAGAATGGGCTGAGAGTTCAGAGGTGGTGATGATGACAAGCCACTGTTAGCATTTCCACCACTATTTCCTTTCATTTTCTTCTGGAACCCGACCGGCCTGGGGCTGAGGGCATAAACACAACAACAGTAAAAAAAATCAAATCCACTGCCAGTGTCTCCAGATCTTCCCAGCACATACATCAAAACCAGCTGCCAAGGAGTCCACGCTGACTCATAGCTGACCCCAGGTGTGTCAGAGCAGGGTTCTCAATGACTCCTCATGGCTTTCACAACTTACTTTTCAGAAGAAAATGGCCTCTGACTCAATTCCAGTTCATGGCAACTCAGCAGTACAGAGGAAGACAGCTGTAGGGTTTCCAAGGCTGTAAATCTTTACAGAAGCAGACTGTCCATCCTCCTGCCTTGGGGCAGCTAACTGCTATTATCCACACACCACCAGGGCTGCTCTGGGGACAGAGTGGGCTCTTTCTTCCTCTGGCTGTCCCACTGTGTTCTATTCATCAATACACTCTCTCACACCCCCGCTGCAGCATGAGCAGGAGCAACTCACAGAAAAGCCAAGACTTCAAATAAACTCAAGGAACCCTGTCTTTTCCCGAGTCCTCATGGCACAGGTGGCCCAAGAGGTGGCCTTGCCCAGTCTCCCTTACCTGATTGTCAATCTTGATTTCTGTCAAGGTGTCATTTTCTCTCAGTGCTTCTACCAGGGCCAGGATCCCAGTTCCAGTAATGAAATTGGATTCAATGTTGAGACTTTTCAAGGTCTTGTTTACTTTCAGCATATCTGCAAAAGCCTTATTTATATAAAAAGAAAAACAAGGGTTTCTCAAGATTTCTAACCTCAAAATTAAGTATTTTCCCATGATTGAAAAAAGAAAAGGTTAGTTATGATTACATTTTCATATAAGTAATAAAGACAATAAATCTGAAGTAAGAAGAAAATAGTTTAGTAGTTCTAGACCTATACATTATTCATACTTGTTAAATTTTTTTAAAGTACTGACACAGGATAGGTTTCATTTTGCTAGGGTATTTGAAATACTTATTACCAAGTTTTGGGGATTTTTAAGTTATTTTTTAAAAAATAAGGCATTTTGGGCACTGTAAATTTAGTCACATCACTTCAGGTTATCAAGATAACCTTTGGAATGAAACCACAACTCAGAATGGTAAATCCCCTGGCGATGCCCACACGTCTCACCAATTTCTCCTCTCTCAGTTTCCCACTGTAAAGAAGAAAACAGGTCGTTTTTATTCTAACAGTATGAGAAAATAAACCTAAAAAGGAACGCTCTCATCTTGAGAAGCTGTTGAAATATAGGAAACAAAGATTTTGGTGGAGAAATGAACATAAAAAAATTGACTTCCCAAAATGCCAGTAGTTCATTCTTGCTCAGGGCATTTCATTAAATCACTGCCTTCAGAGCAGACAGCAACTAGCACAGGACCTTCCCCACAGCGTCCCCTCAAAAGAGCAACTGTGCACCAATCTGTCAGAGAGAACTCTCCCAGGAAGAGCCTCGAGTGAGGAGGGTGCTAGGACTTAGCTAAGACACACACCGCAGAAAACAAAGTGTTTCCAGATCTTCACACCACATATATCAAAAACTTGCAGCTGAGGAATCCACGCTGACTCATAGCCGACCCCAGGTATGTCAGAGCTGGGTTCTCAATGACTCCTCAGGGCTTTCAATGGCTTACTTTTCAGAAGAAAACCGCCAGATCTTTCTTCGGACATGCATTTGAGTGAATGAAATCTATTGACTCTTCAGTTATCCACCAACTACATTAATTGTTTGGACAAACCATGGGCTCCAAATCAACTGCCGTTGAGTTGATTCTAAATCATGAAGCCCCTAAAAGATGTTAGGGTAAACTGCACTCCAGGGCAGTTTCAATGGCTGAATTTCTAGATGTAGAGCAACAATGAATACTGAGAAGGAAGGGAGCTCTCATGGTTTAATGGGTAAGGAGAAGTGCTGCAAACACAAGGGCAGGCAGTTCAAATCCAGCAGTGGCTCTGAGTGACAAAGATAAACCATCTCCTTCTGTGTGATTTACAGCCTCTGAAAAGCAGATTGAAGTTAAAATGAGTCAATTCAGACTCAAACATAGCAACAATAACAACGGGGGTGGAAGGTGGGGGGAAGACAAGCAGGTTAGCCTTGTTGTTATGCTCCAGTGAGTCAACTAAACATAGAGCAACCCTAGGAAAAATGGCTCTGAACCTTGCCCTATCCTAAGCCAACTTCATCATCTCCAACACATCTAACCCCATTGCCACAGTTACTCAGTATATCTCATCCTGGGTCTTCTTCTCTTGCACTGAACTTCTACCCTTCCAAGCATGTTGTTCTTCTCTGAGGACTGGCCCCTTCTGACAATAAACCTAAAATATGTGAAATGTAGTTTTAAAATTTTTGCCTCAAAGAACAATCTGGTTTCACCCTCTCCCAGGACAGACCTATTTGTTCTCTTGATGGTCCATGGTATGTTCAATATTCTTCTTCAGCACTACATACAGCTCAAAGGCCTTGTTTCTTCTTCATCACCCTTAAGTCTCCAGCTCTCAGATATATAGCAAGCAACTGAGAAGACTCAGTGCTGGATAAGGCATATCTTAGTCTTTAGATTGACATCATTGTTCTTTAGCACTCTGGAGAGGTCCTTGACAACAGATTTTCCCAATGACTCACCTTGTGATTTCCTGACTGCTGGTGCCAAGAGTGTTGATTATGGATCCAAGCAAGATTAAAGAATTAACTTAAATCTTTCCTCCATCTATCATGCTGCTGCTTATTGGCCCAGTGGTAAGGATTTTTGTTTTCTTGATGTTGAGATGCAATCCATATTGAAGGCTGCAGTACTTGATCTGCAGCAAGTGCTTCAAGTCCTCCACAGTTTCAACTAGTAAGCTTGTGTCATCTGCATATAACATAGGTTGTTGATGAATCTTCCTCCAATCCTGATGCCACATTCTTCTTCATAAAGTCCACTCTCCCAAATGATTTGTTCAGCATATAAATTGAAAAGGTATAGAGAAAGGATGCATGCCTGACATACTTCTTGATTTTGAATGATGCAGTGTTTCTTTGTTCTGTTTAGAGAACAGCTTCTTGGTCTAGGTAAACACAATCAAGTATTCTGGGATTTCCATTCTTCTCAATGTTAGCTCCAATTTATTGTGATCTATACAATCAAATGCCTTTGCATGGCTGATAAAATGCAAACAGACATAATTTTAGTACTCTGCTTTTAGCCAAGATCCATTTGATATCAGCAAGCAATGATATCCCCAGGGGCCATGGTCTCTTCTAAACTCAGCTTGTATTTCTGGCAGTTTTCTGTTAAAGTACTGTTCCACTCATTTATTTATAATCTTAAGCAGGATTTTGCTTGTGTGTGATATTATTGATATTGTTTGATAATGTACACATTCTGTTGGATCATCTTTTTTGGGAATGGGAATATATATGGATCACTTCCACTCAGTTGTCTGGGTGGCTGTCCTCCAGATTTCTCGGCCCAACCTTGTGAGAACATCCAGGGATGCATCTGTTTGTTGAAATATGTCAGTCGATAGTCCATCAACTCCTAGTCCTTATTTTTTGCATATTCCTTTAGCACAGGTTGGAATTTCTTCCTCTTTGCATTCAGCTGTTTTTGTGTATATATGAATGATAGTGCAATCTCCTCCCACATGATTTACAGCCTCTGAAAACCCACTAAAGGATAAGCTATGAGTTGGTTCTAAATAGTCAGCCCATAACAACAACAACAACACTACTGGTATACAAGTCAGGTTCAATGAATCTTTTTTGAGTGAATGAATGGATAGACAAACACTTTTGTTAGTGGTTGTTAGGCACTGTCAGTCAAGTATGACTCACTACATCAATAATATCAATAATAAATAAAATGTGGAGACTATTACATGGTGACAAATGGAAAAAATAAAGGCAACTCCTTAAAGGAGAGGTCTGCTGGTGAAACGGAACTATACAACTGTAGAGAAAATGATAGTGCTTCATACAAATTAACATTATCTTCCATCCACAAGTATGACTGGGTGACCAAGAGTTACCTGGCAACCACAGAGGTTTGGCAGATGATGGCTAAAGCTCTCAGATGCTAACCAAAAGGTCTGGAGTTTGGGGAGCTCTGGTGGGCTAATGGCAAGATGCTGCACTGCAATCCCAAAAGGTCTAGAGTTTAAACACAAGAGTTGTTTCTCTGAGAAAAGAGAAGGCAATATACTTCCATAAAGATTTACAGCCTCAGAAACTGGGGTAATTCCACTCTGTCCTGTCCTAGAGGGTCGAGATGAGTTGCAATGAAAGAGATGGCTAAGCATGTGAGTTTACTTTTGTAATTTATCTGTATGTACTTTAAATTAATCCACGTACACAGAACAGTAAACAGGGAAAAATTAAGAAAAGTTCTTACATCCCCATAGCTCAACTTTAAGCCAAACAATAGACAGGTCTATAAAGTGATCAGTGACATTCAGGAGGCACTGACACCTTAGAATCAGTCCTAGTGTCAGGTTTCTAACTGAAAGGTTGGGAGTTCAAATCCTCCAGCTGCTGCAAGAGAGAAAGATGGGCAGTCTCATAAGGTTTACAGCCTTAGAAATGCAATGGAAGGTCACTATGAGTTGGAAATCACTCACTGGCAATAAATTTGTTATAAAGTCAAAAGAGGAAAATTTGCTCAAGGATAAGGCCCAGAAAACAAGAAGGGATAAAATAGGATTAATGGGAAGGATAATTACAGGGAGGAAATGAGAAAAGTGCAATTATATCATCAGCATTGTATTTAATGTTTTAAAATAAAAAGTATATGAGTAGTTTAACAGAAAATTAATTTACATTGTAAAGTTTCATTCAAATAATAATTTTTTACAAGAATAAAAAAGAAATATTATTATTTTTTAAAAAGGAAAGAAATACTATTATGACCATATCATAGGGGACATCAAAGTTAATGGACATACCTAGTCTACAAAGACAGTGCTCTACATCCTACTTTTTTGGAGCAACTGTAATCTCAAAAGTCTACAAGCTGCCATCAGGGAGGCAACTATTGGTCTCTCTCAATTGGAGCAAAGAAGACTAAAGAAAATACAAGACTATCAGACCAAAGGACTAGTGGGCCATATGAACTTCATTAGCTTGAGACCAGAAAAGTGAGATGGTGTCTGGCTACCAACACTGGCTGCTTTAAAAGGGGTTTGAATGGAAGATCCTTGATAAAAGAGAAAGAATAATGTGGCATAAACAACAAATAGGGGAAAAGTTATCTGGTCTGAGAGAAACTGACAGAATCCTGGGATTACGGCCCTTAGTTATCTTCTAAGTTTGGAACTGAAATCACCTTTGTAGCTTAATTCCAGCTAAACAATAAAAGTCATTGTCATTGAGTTAGAATGAGACTCAAAGCTGATTCTCTAGGTGATTTCTCAGAGGCTTCAAATCATACAGAAGATTAAGCCCGCCTTTCTCCCTTGGAGCCACCAATGGATTTGAACCACAGAGCAACTCCTTACCCACTAGACAACCAGAGCGCCCTAATGAAAACAATAAATAGGCCTATAAAGTAGTCAGTAAACCAGAGAATAAAGCCCAGGGATAAAGCCTGGAAAGCAGGGTTGTTGTTGTTGTTTGTTGCTGTTATGTGCCGTCAGTCGTTTGCGACTCATAGCGACCCTATGTACAACAGCCCTAAACCCTGCTCTATCCTAAGCCAATTGCATTGCCTCTGACACACCCATCCCAATTACCCCAGTCACTGA